ACCATGAAGGAAAGCTGTCTTTACATCTAACTGCTCAAGATGTAAATTCTCTGCAGCTACAATTTTCAACACCAGTCTGATTGTAGACAATTTTACGACTGGAGAGAAAATTTCATTGTAGTCAATACCTTTTTTTTGCTGAAAGCCTTTGACAACCAATCTTGCTTTGTAGCGTTTGCTCCCATCGTGCTCTTCTTTGATCCTGTAAATCCACTTGTTGTGGAGCGCTTCTTGCCTGGTGGTAATTCAGCTAATTCCCATGTCTGATTTGACATAAGCGAGTCCATCTCATCTTCATGGAAACTTCCACTGACTGAATCTTCCACTTGCATTGCTTCATCATAGCACTCTGGTTCACCATTGTCAGTCAGCAACAAGTAGTGTAAAGAAGGAGAATACCGTTGGGTTGGTTTAGGAATTCTGGAGGAGCGTCTCAGTTCTGGTGTGCCTGGTTCTTCTTGAACTGCTTCAGGATTGATCTGAACATCATTTCCAGAAATCTCTCGAACTCAGCAAATTCCTTTGTTTCAGCTTCGGTATTACTTGATTCTGCGGTTGACCTATCTTTGTACATCACATTTTCATTGAAAATGACGTCTCTGCTTCTGATGATCTTCCGATTTTCATAGTCCCAAAACCGGTAACCGAACTCATCACCGCCATAACCAACAAAAGCACATTTGTTGGAGTTAGCATCAAGCTTACTTCTTTCAGCAGAGTCTATGTGTACATAAGAAATACAACCAAAACACTCTTAAGTGTGAAAGGTTTATTTCTTTCTTGCTCCAAACTTCCTCTGGTATTCTGCCATCCAAAGGAACTGAGGGCCCACGGTTGATCAAGTAAGCTGCAGTGTTGATTGCTTCAGCCCATAGAAATTTGGGCAAGCCGGCATGTATCCTCATACTTCTGGCACGTTCATTCAGAGTTCTGTTCATGCGCTTGCTACACCATTATGTTGCGGTGTCTTGGGAACTGTTGTCTCCATCTTGATCCCATTGTTTGCGCAGAAATCTCTGAATCTACTGTCTCTGTACTCTCCTCCATTGTCAGACCTCAACCGCTTGACTTTCAAACCAGTCTCATTTTCCACCATGGCCTTCCATTTTCTGAAGATATCGAAGACTTCTGATTTCTTCTTCAGAAAATAAACCCACACCTTCCTTGTGAATCATCGATGAAGGTGACATAATATAGTGAGCCTGCAAGAGATGGAACTGGGGATGGTCCCCATACATCAGTATGAACCAATTCTAACCTTTCTGTCTTGGGTGTCTTGCCAATCTTTGCAAAACTGACTTTCTTTGTTTGCCAAAGATGCAATCCTCGCATAGTCCGACATCTACATTCTTTAGATCCGGCAGCTTCCCTTTGACAAAAGTGTCTTCATCCCTTTCTCGCTCATATGGCCAAGCCTTTGGTGCCATAGGTTTGATTTTCCATCAGCATCTGCTACTGCAATGATATTCTCTAAATTTGAGGTTACATAGAGAGTACCAGTCTTTACACGAGCAATGACGAGTGCTCCTTTGGTAATCTTCCATTCACAGCCTGAAAAGGTTGTGCTATATCCTTCTCCATCAAGCTGTCCAACAGAAATCAGATTTCTTTTGAGGCCAGGAATATGTCTCACTCCTGTCAGCTTCCAGGTGGTCTGGTTTGGCAACTTTAGTCGGATGTCTCCTTTTCCGACGATCTTTAAGGTTTCATCATCAGCAAGATGAACCTTCCCAAAATCACCACTGACATAGTTCTCCATGATTTCTTGGCATGGGGTGGAGTGGAAAGATGCCCCTGAATCCAAGATCCATGATTCAATCGGACTGTTGACGCTTAGAATCATGGCATCACCTGTCTCCTCTGTCACGTTGGCAGATTCTTGTGCACCGGTATATTCTTCAGTGCTCGGCAATCTCTTTTAAAGTGACCTTTCTTGCCACAATTATAACAGGTAAAATCTTTCTTTCCCGTTCTAGATTTTTCCCGTCTGGATTTTGATCTGCCACGATTTGAATATCTTTCTGAAGTTCTTCCTCTAGACTCCGTGTGCAAGGCTGATGAGGTTGATGCTTCACCGATTCTCTCCGTCGAATTTCTTCACTCAGTACCAGATCCGAACATCGTCGAATTTTAATTTGCTGTTTCCCGACGAACTGCTGACTGCTGTAACAGTAGCATTCCAACTGTCTGGTAGAGATGATAAGAGAATTAAAGCTCGAACTTCATCATCGAACTCAATTTCCACTGAACTCAACTGGGTTGTGATTGTGTTGAGTTCATTTAGGTGTTGTGCCACCGATGCCCCTTCCGTCATCCGCAAATTGAATAATCGCCTCATCAAATGAACTTTGTTTGAGGCCGATGGTTCTCATACATACTGGAGAGAGCCGCCATAAGACCCGCCGTGGTCTTTTCCTTTGCTATGTTGAAAGCAACATTTCGGGACAACGTCAGTCGGATGACTCCGAGGGCTTGTCGGTCGAGAAGAGCCCAGTCTTCATTCTTCATGCCCTCTGGTTGCTTTCCTGAGAGAGGTTGATAAAGATTTTTCTGGTACAGAAAATCTTCAATCTGCATCTTCCAAAAGCCAAAGTCCGCACCATCGAACTTTTCAATTTTCACCTTCCCTTCGTCTGCAGCCATCGCTTCCACTCGAATCTGGCTTCTTTTGGATCGTTTCTGACAATTCTTGCGAACCACGTGTATTAGAACACCACCGTCGACAAACTCGTATCGCCGACCAAAATTCACTATTCACGAAATTCACTATTCACGTGAATAGTAATGAATAGTAACCTCGCAGAAAAATTGACAAAATTCACAACCAAAGCTCTGATTACCAGTTGTTAGGAAATAAACCGAGTACAAGTAATTTCCCTATAACCAGATTAGTGAGAATGCAAAATAAAAGCGGAAAAAATACCCGAAAATTGATAACGGAGTTCAGCCAATTGTGCTTACGTCTCCGGGCTGCTGCAGATCTTTTACTAAGAGAGAAAATTTACAGGTGTTTACAAAACACTCACTACTCACAAGAAAGCTCTCTAGTATAGGAAGAAAGAAATGTTTTGGGATGATTTTGAAGCTAAATGGGTAAGGGTATTTATAGTAGAAACTTAGGGACTAATCTTTGAAAATACCTAAAGTGCAATGACTAAAGTGAATTTACCCATTCCTATTTTCAACAAACATCTACCAAAATTTTACCAAACTTTGAAAACATTTTTCAAAGAAACATTTACCAAACTTTGAAAAAACATTTTCCAAAGTTGGTTGCCAAACTTTGAAACTTTTAACAAAAGTAGCCACAAAGTTCATAGTGGGTGATACGGACCTGGTTTACCATATGCCTGGCCTCAAGGAATACATCCACAATGGCGGATTCAAGAAGGATGTGCCATTGTTGCAGGAAGTAGTGGTAATGGAAGGAGTCGGGCACTTCATCCACATGGAAAAACCCGACGAGATTAACGACCACATTTACGACTTCTTCCGACAGTTCGATTGACATTTTCCTTTAAATCCTCCCATGCTTCATCTATGTTTCAGCTTCTGTGTAATAAAATTGGCAACCTTAGGACCCTAATAATTGTAGCTGATTTGTGCAGCCTTCCCTGCCCCGACCTTTTATTCTACTCCGAAGTTTTCGGGTCCAGATGTATTCGGTTATAGTGATTGAAACTTCTAGAGCTTTGTCATTTCAAATGCAGATTCCTAAATGTTTTTGGTTGATGTCGTCTCTATCGCTTGCTTCCTCATTGATTGTATGTATTCATCTGTTGTCTGGTAATACCTCTATCGTACCCAAGATATTTGGTGGTGGTATTTATTTTGTTCGAGATTATCATCCTCAAGTTACATAACCTAATCCTAAGTTCTTAAAGTGTGTATTTATGTGGTATTCTCGTGTTAAAAAAGATCATTATTGTTACTTTGAGTCCATGTTAAGTCTTTTATCAAATTTTCCTTCTAGTGTCGTACATGTCAGCCTAATTTTGAGACTCTAAACACATATACTAATGTGCGCCCCTATTTGCTTAGTTCTGATCCTATTCTCGACACCCCAGAACCATGTCATGATGAGCCAATGTCTTCGTCGTTAGAACCATAACTGCAACATTCGTGGCTCCAATTCCCATAACCTGTGCATGGCAAGTGAATTGGAAATAAACACCAAATCTATGAAAGAAGAAAAGCTAAAGGATAGGGATTAAACAACATCCCCTGTACTATTTACTGAACCTTTTATCCAGGTACTACCAACCATCCAGTTTCCTTGTGTACATGGACTCCGCATGCATATAAAAGGAATGTCAAATATTCTCAATGAGCAAAATGTTAAGATCATGTGCTAATGGTTGTTGGATCAATACCCCTATCGTAAAAGCTTTCTCCTGGTTGGCATATAACAACAAGTTCAGTTCCAGATATGAATTTGTGGCGATAATCGCAGAAATTGGAGTAAATATTGGTGCAAAAGTGTCGAGGCTATAAGATCAACTTGAATTCGAACAATTTAATAATGATAAGGACTTATTCTCAATGAGCAAAATGTTAAGATCATGTGCTAATGGTTGGCGATAATCGCAGAAATTGGAGTAAATATTGGTGCAAAAGTGTCGAGGCTATAAGATCAACTTGAATTCGAACAATTTAATAATGATAAGGACTTAAACTAATTCAAAACCAAACAGAACGGAATGTGATCCTACAATAAGCTCGGTATAAACGGGTAGTATAATTCTTTCATCAGCTTCAAGACATTGGGTGGATGCATCTTTCAGCATTGATCCATGTAATGCATAGGCCTGCAGAAGAAGCTTGAGCATATTGTAACAAAAAGTCCTACATTGCCTCATGCAAGATTGATCATCTAACCTAAAACAGTCTTTTAGTTCAATTCCCAACGTTATGAATCTAAGAACATTTAATGGGACAAGAATCAAAATAAACACTTAGCCATCTGATAAAAATAAAATCTTTTAAAACCACAAAGTAGACACTGCAAATTTCATACTTTTATGAAAACTTCTTTCAAGTTTCAACTTCCAAAGTAAATTAAGGATCCTGGCAAATAAACTAAAATCTCAAAAATGCATCTAGTTCATTCTCCTAATTAGCTCGTTGATGTTATTCTCACGGTTGCCAGCATCTCCTCCTTCAACATAGTGGTTTCTCTTCTTCTTCAGACCTCCCAATGGTGCCTTTAGCTGAAATGGCCAGAGAAAGTTGTTGGCTTCCTTAAAATGAGGCCCCACGATCATGATCTCATGGATAAGATCTTCCACACAGATGATGCCAAATTTTTCCATAGCCTGTGACCAGTACAAAAACAATGGTGCTTAGTAACTGTTTGGTGACAACATGAAACTAAACTCGGTAAGTGAAACGTTACAAACCGCTCGACAATTGCATTGTCGGTCAAGGCAATTCTCTTCTTGTTCAACTTCCCAAAACCTCTTTTGTAAATCAATTCTCTCACGCTCTTGAGATTAGGGTATCTAGATGGATACATCAGTGAGAAATAAGTCATGGAAAGTACAATAAAACTATTAAAACAGCAACAAGGAAGCGGTAAAACCAAAATATACCCATAAGTCACATATGGTTCAACCAGGTGAAGCATGTTCATTGTTGCCTTGTTCACTTTGAGAAAAACACCATTGAAAATCTGCAATCCATTGAAACAAACGCCACAATTTAGATTTAAATTTTATTTATAAATTAGAAGAAACTATAATTAATTGTTTACAATATGGCCGACAGAATCCCTACAGTGATAAAAAAGACTCACTTTTAACTTGACAAAGCAGAATCAAACCCATACATACAAGTTAGATGATAAGTTTGCCATCACTAATAAGCTATGATATTAATTTCATTTTTATGCTCAACTATCAAAATGAACAAATACACAAAATTTCTACAACTTGAAACCATACAATAAAAACACAAGCGTACATTTAATTTGGACAAAAAAATCTCAAAAAAAGCACAGCATATCAAACAAGTAATTTTATTTCAACCAGATATCGTAACACATATCATCCCTCAAAGGGAGATCCAGTCCATGCATGGGACACACGCAGAGGGAAAAGTGGGAATCACTTCTGATAAGCCAGAATTTTAGTGAAACGATAATATCAGTTAACCTGTCTCAAACGCAAGAGCTGCAAGATCTTTCTCGTCCTTGGGTGCATGGCATTGATACTGAAAACATATAAAATCAGAAAATGTAACCATTTAGAAATTAGATTTTTAAATCAATGAAATGCCACAATAATCACATACCCTCGGATTCGAATGGTAAACAAAAGCTTAGCTTCTGGATCAACATAAGATCCTCCTTTCAACTTTGCTTCCCGCTTCAATTGAACCAACTCCTTTTCCTGAAGATTACACACCACATAATACAAGTTATGACACCTCTAAGATTTGATTAAAAAAACAATGTACGAAAAAATCTGAACAGAAACGAAGAATTACATGAGCCTCATACTCCTTTGCATACTGCTTAGCTCTAGAGTAAATAAGCTTGCGGTTCTCAAGTTTCTTCTTCTTTGCAGCTTCAAGCTCCTGATTTTTGGCAAGCTCCCATTCTTCATTTCGCTTATTCTTCTTCAGGAGTGACTCGGGGACCGCAGTCTTAACTTCCAAAACCACCTAATCAAAACTATATCAAACCAAACAAATCAGGTAACAATTTCTAGATATTTAATAATCCTAGAATAAAACCCATTTCATTCTTTTGAGCGTATGTTAGCTTAACAAAGTTTGTTACTGACTAAAGACTACAGAATCTAAGTAAGATGAAAGATCCATTAAATAAAAGAACTGGGGTTAAGCAAGCACCAAGGGTTAGTAAAACAGATTTAATGTATAAGAAAACATTGTTGATAAAAATCAAGAGGACAGAAAAATGATCATCCAAAACACAGATTTCTCACCTTAGTCGGATGCGGCTGACGGTGATGTTTCTAGGGTTCGGCAAAAATGAAGAGAAAGAAAAGCGAAGCGTAAACTAGAAATGTCAAATAGGATTTTGATGATTAAACGAACGGATGGGATTTCTTTTCCCCACTTTCAGGAACAACTCAGATCGGGTTTAACCCAGATGGGCCCATACCCGAAAGAGTGACAAGGAAAAAAAAATCGAATCAGGAAATTGAACCCGACGTGAATCGAACAAGCAACCTTCGATCTGGAGTCAGACACGCTACCATTGCGCCACGGATCCGACTGATAACTGATTCCATTGAATTTTTTTATTCACTATTTATTCTTAAATAAAATAAAATGTTCAACAATTAAAAACATTTATATTAATTAAATAAAAATTTCAAAATATCATATAAGAATTTGGGTCGGAAAAATCAAAATATTTCAGAGTTTTTAAGTCGAGTTAGGGTCTCAAGGATTGCAGGGAGGAAATTAGATACAAGGTGGGAGGGATCTATTCGATTTTTTAGTTTAATTACAATTTAGATCCTTATAACTATTCAAATTAAACCTCAACTACTTAAATTTGTTGATTAAATATATTTTTTAGGTCCCTAATTTATTTGGCTCCCTTGCATCTTATTTTAGTTCCGTTCTTTAAGCACATTCAACCTAACCAACTCTATCAAGGTATTTGATTGATTTTCTACCAAGTAGCTAATCTTCAAATTAAGGAATTTAAATATTGTTGATTTTATTTAATTATTGGGTAAAGTACACAAATGGTCCCTACTATAGGAAAATACTTTATTGAGTCACTCGACTATTAAAAGTTACAAAATAATTCATCGACTATAGGGTATTAATTTGTTGAGTCCCTCGACTATTAAAAGTTACAAAATGATCGTTCGACTATTCATATGTTTCAAACTCAATCCTTTTTACTTGATGTTTTTCTAAGCTTAACGTCAATATGTTGAATGTGATGTGATAAAATTTGATCATAAAATCTCAACCGACTATACAATTCAAATAGGTCTAAGATAAGATTGTATCATCTATAAGTCAGTAGTTTGACGTCTAACTCAGACGACTGTTAATTTTTTAATAGAACAGGATGAGTTTGGAATAGGGGTGTAAACGAGCCGAGTCGAGCTCTAGTATTGCTGAGCTCGACTCGAAAACTCACGAGCTTAAATTTTTTTAAGCTCGACTCGAACTCGAAATCCTGAACGGAAGCTCGTGAACAGCTCGAAAATGCTCTAAATGAAAAAAAAAATCTTAAACTTAACTAGATTGAAGCCCCAAACTCAAACATGAACCTTAATCTATGGTATCATAATCTATGTTATCTGGGCTCGGAATATACTTAATTTTTAAAAGCTTTTTCATATATTTGGAAGATCTTTTTCATACCAATTTATGAATGTGTAGGATACAAGTTTGGGAATGATTACTTGAAAATAAATAAATCCGGGTTATATAGGTCGTGATTCTTTTAGCTGATACAAAACCTTTTGTGGATTGTTATCCTTTTCGTTTTTGAATTTAGAATATGATTCTTAGCCGATTTGGAGGGAAGCTTGGCGCTGGTGGCAGTTCTAAAGGACCGGCAGACAAGCGGAGGCCCGAGGACAGGGTTCTTAAGTCAAGTGAAGGTCATTTTAAAAATGGTGTACTCGATGTGAAGCATTTGTTTCAGAAGTCTCCTGGTAAAGACAATGACTTTGACAGTCACCCCGTTGGCAAAGGGAAAAAGAGAAGGGGAAGTGGTAAAAAGAACGGAGGGAAGAAGAAAGGTGGTGGTGGAGGCAGGAAGCGCCACTGAATGAAACATCCGTGAGGTTCCTTGCCTCGGCAATGTAGATTTTGGATCTTCATATAACTTGTCATTGTCGGTGTATGATCTTCTTCTGTCATTGTATACTAAAGCTCTTGCGGGCTTTGATTGAGATAATTGCTCGAGTATGTAGGAACATCCAGTATTTTACTTATGTATGTAAACGAACCGAACGTTCTGCGAATCGTTCGTGAACCGTTCGGGAAAGTTCGTTTATTTATTAAACGAATGAACATGAACAAGATTTTGTGTTCGTTTAATTAAATGAAAGAACATGAACAGAGGGCTCGTTCATGTACGTTCGGTAATATGTTCGTTCATTTATGTGCGTTCATTTATGTTTAGCACAATCTCTTAGACGCATTTAAAATATTAATGGCCAATAAATTTTAATTTGATGCCCATAAATATTTTAAAATTCAATTAATTTTAAATACAAATAAAAAAAAGCTCATAACAATTAAATAAAATATAATTCTAAAAGTGTTAGGAAAGGAAAAAAATTTTATTTTCATTTATGTTCGTTTATGTTCATTTATTGTGTTCGTTAACGTTCATTTACATCTGTTCGTTTAAGTTCGTTCATTTGTGTTCGTCCATTTGTGTTCGTTTGTCATTTAAATGAACGAACATGAACAAATTACATTCCTTAACGAACGAAAATTAACAAGAAATTTTTTGTTCATTTATGTTCGTATTTGTTCATTTGTCCGGTTAAAATTAAACGAACGAACATGAACATACTCTCGTTCGTGTTCGTTCGGTTCGTTTACATGCCTAATTTTATTGATATTGATGAAAAGATTTGTAGTCTTCATGGTTTTGTTTGCATAATTTGCTTATTCTCTCGCATATTTATGTTCATCATTTTGTTTGAAAATTATTTACATCTATCAGCATAACATCATTCTCGTTTACAATTTTGCAAATACAGGCACTTGTACTAATTCAACATAAAAAGAAATTGATGTATTTGTTTTTCAAAATATTTACAGCTGAACCAAAATAAAAGTTTAATATATATAATTTAATTAAAATAATAATTTTATGTGTATATCATATTAAACTAAAGTTTATGTACAAATTTAGCATTTGAATCAAATCTTAATTTCAATCATATAACTACAAAAAATTGAAGTTTGCGTGTACAATCATACATTGGGTAATTTACACCTGTTGAAAAATCAATAAACTTTAGTTTTTTTATTTATTTATATAGGGTATTATATGTCGTAAACGTCTTTTAACAATAAACATTCAAATATCCTGTAATCGTCAATGTTTGAATTCGAGATCATTAAAGATAACAATCATCTCCTTAATTAGTTTGGTTTACGTTAATAAAATTTTGTTTGTTTGACATTTAATTAAGTAATTTTTTATACTAAGAATTTTTTGTTCAAAATAGGTGTCTAACGTTTTTTTACGTTATTCTTTAGGTGGTGGTGTTAAAAAAATCGTTAAGTGACGCGTGTCATGTTTATAATTTTTATTTTTAAAAATAAAATATTTTAAAAAAAAATATTTTTTAAAACAATTTGAATGTAACACTTGTCAATTAACGATTTTTTTCAACGATAGATATCTAAAAGTGTAACGAAAAAATATTAGACACTTACTTTTAATAAAAATTCTTTAAATACTAAAAAAAAATCAATTTTGAATCTAATTTAAAAAATTATTTTTATATCAAGTCTTTAAATATATATATATATTTAAGTAAAAAGCCTATTATTATTCCAAGGACACTTTGGTCATAGTAAAATAGTAAGAATCGTACTTGTAAATTGCCTTTGAGTCAAAACGATATACAAAAGCTCAAGGATTTGCCCCAAACAGCCGAGAGAAATGGATCAACTAGAATTTCGGCGCCTTCTCGATCTCTTCCCTGTTGTTCGATCTCCTGATTATCATGTAAATGACAAAGCCCCTCTTTTTTTATTATTAATTTTATTTCTTCACCATGTTCTCTAATAATTCCTTAGTTATTCATTTATCTGAGTCTGGCATCGATATTTTCCATCCTTCAAACCAAGAAAAGCCTTAGTACTAATGTAGATGCTCAAAGTTGAGAAAATTATGCTTTTGTAAGCTTTTTAAATTTTAACGGTCTCACTACTGAATAGGAAAAGATCCGAATTGATGCTTGGTTTTAGTTACATTCAGAAAATGTTTCATGGGAGGTGGTTTTCTAGTTTAACAATCTAGTATTCGATTTTATTGAAAACAGATGTAATGTAATTCATACAGAAAACGTGTTATTTTCATTTACAAAGCTATGCTGCTGTTATATACACAATCATATCGCTGAGCTGGCTGTAACTGCTGTGCAGTTTTAACAGCCTGCACCTAACTTTCCTAACAACATTCTAACAGTCTGTAACTAACTGAAACTAACTATCACACAAACTCTCACGCACATACACCACACTCTATCATTCTAACATTCTCCCCGCTCCTTCGACTCCTCTTTCTTTATTGAAAAGGCAGAACACGCAAATGATCTCGAAACACTTCAAATGCTCCCTTTGTCAACAACTTTGTAAGACCGTCGGCCACCTGATGACAAGCTGGAACATAGTTTACCTGCAATTGTTGAGCTGCAACTTTCTCACGGATAAAATGCACATCCATGTCTACATGTTTTGACTGAGCATGATACACTGGATTCGTGCTTAACGCAACAGCACTTGTATTATCACACCAAATGACAGGTGTATTGCTAGTTTCTATGACAAGCTCTCCTAACAATGACTTCATCCATGTAACTTCAGCTCCAGCCTCAGCAACGCTTCGATATTCAGCCTCCATTGTAGACCTGGAAACCGTTTTCTGTTTCCTTGAACACCAAACTACAGGACATGCACCAAGAAACACTACATGGCCAGACACCGACCTCCTGTCATCAAGGCTGCCTCCCCAATCAGCATCAGCAAATGCCATAACTTCAAGTGACTTGCCAGCACTCGAAAAAGTGAGACCATAGTTTAACGTTCCAGCTAGGTATCGAAGTATCCTCTTCACTGCAGTCAAATGCAACTCTCGTGGAGCATGCATATACTGAGCAGCCTTGTTGACACTAAATGCAATATCTGGTCGCGTATGACACGCATACAGTAAAGCACCAACGATGCTTCGATATTCACGTGTATTTGTTAACAGCTCTCCAGCCTCCAGAGTCAACTTTGGAGATCCTACCATTGGAGTGGCAGTGGGAGTGGCATGCAATAAGTCTGTCCTTTCCAACAGTTCGAGTATGTATTTCTTTTGAGACAGCACCAAGGACTCCTTGCTACGTTTGACTTCAATGCCCAAGAAGTAGGATAATTCTCCTAGATCCTTCAAGGAAAACTCCTGATTCAACGCTTGTATCACAGCATTAACGACACATGAAGAAGCACTTGTGAGTATGATATCATCAACATAAACAAGAATATATGTATAGCAACCTGCATCATTCTTAACAAAACAATGATACATCAGCTTTAGATTCACTAAAGCCAAGCCGAATTAAACTGGCTTTAAGCTTGTCATGCCAGTTCCTTGGAGCTTGTCTCAACCCATACAACGCTTTATGAAGTTTGCACACAAGCAAACTACCATCAGCAGCATATTCCTCAAAACCAGGTGGCTGCTGCATAAACACTTCCTCAGTCAAATCACCGTTTAAAAACGCATTATTCACATCAATTTGCCTTAAGGACCAACCCTTTGCAACTGCAATCGAAAGAACTGCATTCAACGTTGGAAACTTGACAACAGGACTATATGTTTCCTTAAAATCATAACCTGGTACTTGTGAATATCCTTTAGCAACAAGGCGGGCTTTGTGTCTCTCAACAGATCCATCAGCCTTCTTTTTTATTCGAAACAGCCACCTACAGCCAACAACCTCACGTCCTGCAGGCAGCTTGACAAGTGACCAGGTCTTATTTCTTTGTAACGCAAGAACTTCTGCTTGAACAGCCTCTTTCCAGTTAGAAGTTTTTAGTGCTTCATAAATATCACCTGGAACCTCATCAGCAGCAACAATCGTATAAGCTTTCGGCTTAACTATACCACACTTACTTCTTGTCATCATTGGATGTATGTTTACACAAGCACTATCTAAATTGCATGCATTTTCTGCAGGTGGATGCAACTGGTTCAACCCTGGATCATTAGCATGAGTACTTGCATCATCATCTTGACCAGCATCACCAGTATCTTGACCAGTATGCGAGACTTCACCTGGAACTTGATGCTCGACATCTGGCACAACACTTGCATCCTCTGCCATTACAGAACTGGAATTAACACCAGGTGCACTATTCGAGTCTCCACTGGTACTGGCCATACATTCATGGCTTAATTCAGCAGTAGGTTCTGTCATTGAACAGTTTACTAACATCAGTTACCACTTGTAACGAGCTGGGACAACTCCTTATAGTAGACTCATGACTGCTTCTTCCTGCAAACGGAAACTGCATTTCATCAAACACCACATGCCTTGTTATATAGATCCTACCATCCTCAGCAAGACACTGAAACCCCTTGTGATGCATACTGTAACCTAAAAAAGTGCAAGGCTTGGACCTGAAATCCAGCTTGTGCTGTAAATACGGTCTCAAATGAGGGAAGCAAAGGCACCCGAATACCTTCAATTGCTCATAATCAGGTTTCCTATGGAAAAGTTTTCTCAAACGGTGAGATGCCTTGCAAAACTCTCGTAGGGAGCCTGTTTATCAGATGAACTGCTGTATCCACTGTATATGCCCAAATTTTGACAGGCATTGATGCTTGAGCAAGTAGAACGAGAGCTAGTTCAATAACATGACGATGCTTGCGTTCGACCACTCCATTCTGCTCGGAGGTATGTGGACATGTCAACCTGTGCATGATGCCCTTTCGCAATAAGTGACTCGACAGCCTGCGATACTCACCTCCCCAATCACTTTGCACAGCCTTTATAGGCATATTAAACTGAACCTCAACCAGTTTCTGAAACATCTCGAATGCACTTACTGCTTGAGCCTTATCTTTCAGCAAATACAACCATGAGTGTCTGGTGCATGCATCAACGAATGTTACATAATATTTGTAACCATTCGAAGCAATATGTGCGGGTCCCCAAAGGTCTGTAAATACCAACTGAAAAGGAGTGTTATACACTGTTGTTGATGCATGAAATGGCAATTTGTGACTCTTTCCTAAACGACAAGCAACACATGTTTTATTTATATTTGAAGGCAAGCTTACATCCAATTCCTTACAAATCTTTACTAGACTATCATGCGAGGGATGACCCAAACGCTGATGCCACAAATTATACATAGAAGTAGAGAACTATGTTGCATAAACTGCTGGCTTAGAGCTATCTCCAAGCGATGAACCCACAACAAAGGAGTACAAACCACCATCTTCTCTCCCTCGAAGCAAAACTGCACTGGTTTTTTTATCACGAACGCGGCACTCATGTGCATGGAATTCAAAGAAAATGTTGTTATCCCTAGCAAGCTTTGACACCGAGAGTAAGTTCTTGGTTATTCTTGGTACATGCAATAAATCGGGGTTAAAAGCAACACACGAGAAGATGTATGTAAGGGAGATTGCCCAATAGACTTAACATCTAATGCAACACCATCACCAACAATTAATTTACCTGGATTGTTGAAATCTGTAGGTTGAGAAATATTCATGCCATCAGAAGTGACATGATGTGTGGCACCTGAGTCCACAATCCAGTGCTCACGGTCTGCAGTTGGCTTTTGATAACTTGATTTCTGACTAGCACCACACTCACAGCCAACATCTTTATTCGCAGCATAGTAGGCAGTACCTGATTCAGTCTTTGAGTACGAGTTATTGCTGGCTGTAACTCCAGGAAAGTCCTCATCAAATCGATGCCAACACCGATCCACCAAATGGCCATTCTTCCCGCATAACTGGCACTGCATCTGAGATCTACCCCCGTCCTCTACCAGCTGATCGACCACGCGAGTACGTCTGACGAGAAGCAACCGATCTCTCAGACTGATCTACTTCTTTTCTTGTCATTTGTCCTTGAGCAACATGTGCACTCATAGGAAGTGATTCAATTGGATCACAGAACTCAGCTAGTTGAGTCTCAGCATCGAGCAACATTGTGTAAATAGCATCAAGAGATACTGACTCTCGCATTGTGGTTATAACAGCTACAAAAGGTTGATATTCACGAGGCAATCCCTTCAAAATGCTGGCCACCTGCACTGCCTGAGACACAGCACTGCCACACGATGCTAGAGCATCGCAAACCTCTTTAACTCGAGTGAGATACACTCTCATTGATTCATCACCTTTCTTGAGTGACTGAAGCTTGTAATGCAAGCTGATGACAGCAGTCGTAGATCTGTTCGAGAAGAACTGAAGAACTGTACTCCAGACTGCAGAAGCCATTTCAGCTCCTACGAACTGAGGTAGTAACTGTGGACTTATCGTTGACAATAACCAGGATGCCAGAGCACTGTCCTGTGCAACGAACTCCTCATATTGCTCGTTCGGAACCTCTTCACCCGCCTCATTAAGCACAGTCTGTGATGGAGCAGACACCAAGCCTGTAAGTAGCCTCTCCAATCTATGGCTACGAACTGTGAGCAACACTTGTTGCTTCCATAGCAGAAAATTTGCTTCATCAAGAATGACATTAACCCTCTTATTGGAGAATGTTTTTGCATTCCTCGACGTATTCTCCATTGAAGAAGCTAATCGATCAGTGTTCATGACTAGAACCTTCCTTCTTCTTCTTTAAGCAGCAAAAGCGCAAAGAAACTGCCCGAATCGTTTGGCGAAAGATACCATATTGAAAACAGATGTAATGTAATTCATACAGAAAACGTGTTATTTTCATTTACAAAGCTATGCTGCTGTTATATACACAATCATATCGCTGAGCTGGCTGTAACTGCTGTGCAGTTTTAACAGCCTGCACCTAACTTTCCTAACAACATTCTAACAGTCTGTAACTAACTGAAACTAACTATCACACAAACTCTCACGCACATACACCACACTCTATCATTCTAACAGATTTTGATAACTATGAACAACTGATTCATGCAATAATGTTGATGCTCATGACTGCATTCATTCTGATATGAAGTTTTTACATTCATTTTTGTTTGAAATTATCTTTAAAAATTTCAGGCTGAGTCAGCTTCATCGAGACAAGCAGCTTCTTGTTCGGCATCAAATGAGGTTACCATGACTGATTGATCCTCCTTACTCCCTTTTCTATAATATGGTAGCTTGATCTGTAATATGCTTGCTTGTAATGTTTGCCTTTTGCTAAACAGATTAAGGATTGACAAGATGCATGGCATGATGGTGAAAGAAAGGAAACAGAGAATCAAGGAACGGATCTGCATGGTAAGTTATTGTGTGGTCCCTAAAACAAAGTTATCTCTGTGAAATATGGACAAGAGTATTGATCTGTCATCAGTTGATCAATTTGTATTTCAAAGTTTGGAGAAATAATGGATCGCTTATTATTATTTTGAAAAAGTCTCTTACAACTTCCTTTTAGTTTACTTGCGAGTATTCTTTTTGGCAGAAGCTAAAGTTGGCAGCTGAGAATAAGGTATGCCTAAAGTATAATGACTCCAAGTTAATTAAAATTTTCAGTGTCTGAATCGTGCAAGTTTTATTGAATTTGTTTTCTTCTTACTATAAACGGTCTAGAAGTTTCTGGAATGCTGATGAAATTACCTAGTACTGGAATATAAAATTAAACTGGTAATTTAAATGATTTTCTGTGGATCCTGTGAGGCAAGGTACTTTCTTAGTCATTTTTTTCCTTCCACTGAAAACGGACCTTGCACCTTTTGTGCTTAAAGAAATTAAAAAAAAGAGAAAATAACCTCAGTGACCAATGTCTTATAATATACGATTTTAATCAATTTTTTTTGGATTTGTCAAAATGACCAACTAAATCGCAATGCGATCGATAATTCACAACGCGATCTCCGGTATCGCAAATCAGTTTCCAGATTCGCAACGCGAACTTCGACTATCGCATTGCGATTTACATATTCACATTGCGATAGTCCAAGTTCGCGTTGCGATTTATTCCAAGTTCGTTGCGATAGTCGAAGTTCGCGTTGCGATTTATTCCAAATTCGTTGCAATAGTCCAAGTTCGTTGCGATAGTCGAAGTTCGCGTTGCGATTTATTCTAAATTTATTGCGATATTCCAAGTTCGTTGCGATAGTCCAAAATCGTAACGACGGTATTGCATTTGTTTCTTAAGAATTTTCTCTAAAAAGATAGTATTCGCGTGGACGTGTCGAAGACACGTATTACCACGACCACGACCACTGACTCAAATATCGATGGAAAGAGAAAATTACAAGTTTAAGAAAGAAGAAGATAAAAAAAGAATTGCAGTAGAAAGAAAGGAAGAAGACAGCTGAAGAAGACTAGAAAACTCTTTCTTTTATCACATTTTCTCATTTCTTAACCCTAATATTTGACCTATTAACAAACCCAACCCTATAGCCCAAATTTATAGTACAACTCTAATGTTTATTTTTTATAACAAACCATTATAACTTCTTCCATCCTTTGTCTGCTTTTAACCCAAAGTATATGTTTTTTTTTAGAAATTTAGTTATTTAATAATACATAATTAATTTTAATTTTTAAAATAAAAAAATATTAAATTAAATATTAATTACTTATAAAATTTTATTTTTTTATAATAATTACAAATTTTAAATTGATAATAAAATAAATTTGTATCATTTAATAATAAATGAAATAATAGTTTTAAATATTAAAAACATAAGTATAAATCAATAACAGTGTAGATTTTGGTGAAAGGGGATTAAAATATGTTTAAAAAAATAAATAAAATAATAGTTTTAAATATTAAAAACTTTAAGTATAAATCAGTATATTGTATACAAGTATTTTAGGAGTTAATCGGTGGGTAATGGGTATAAATATACTCATACAATTAATTTATAAACTTGTTAGCATAGATATGTTTATAATATTGTTTTAAGTATAAAATATGTTCCATAACTAATTTATAGGTTTTTTAGTATAAAAGTGCGCCTCCCTACGAAAGGCAAGCGCCTAAGCCTTGCGCCTAGGCTTCAGGGACCTTTTGCGCCTAGGTGCTCCTTGCGCCTTTTAAAACCAAGGTACCCGTGAGGTTTTTGTGTTAAGATACAAAAACTACAGCGGAATGTGCCACACACATTACCAACATGTAACTAAAATATGTAGAAGTTTCCTTCCATATGATTCTGTCTGGACTTAATGATCATCCCATGGTCTCTGGTTCCCATTTATGGCGCCCTAAATTCTTCTTCCTAAAGCCTTTAATTTCCATGATCATTCGATTTTTGGTCACTTGAAACTTCAAATAAGTTTTTGAAATGCAATAAGCCATTGTAGTGAGTTGCTTTTACAACACCAATAATTTGATTCTTGAAGGGTCTTTACATTATCTCAGCCATTATTCTTGCACTATCTATTTTTCTCTTTCAGGCTTCCAGCCATGGTTGAAGATCTTTTCTATTAGTTACAATTGACAATTCTCAAACCTCTTTCTGATGATAAATATTGCATACTTTGCATTTAAAAAAAATCGGTTGGTTATGGGCTTTAATATTAATAACTGAGGGTGCAAAGTGCTTTTCATTCTCTTCAATGGCACTGCATCAAGAGATCCAGCTATCCACTAGTGTTGTGTGAAGCATTGTACCTTTTATTAGTTTTGGGGCAACATGAATCTTTTTGTGATGATATAGAGGAGTACGTGGTACTTGTAAAATTTTTATCATTGAGAGCTATTGTCATGGGGCAACCTTGCTGGTGTCTTTGATTTTTTTCTCTTTTAATAGAAGCATTCTCCCTGAAAGAAGATAAACAAAATTTCAAGTATTGTACTTAGATCTTGTAGTTAATTTCGTTGATTTTGATGCTTTATATTGTTTCCTAGAGTGAGCATTTGATATGACAGAGAACCTTTATTGTCCTGCTGTTCATAATGCATAGCAGTAATTAGGTTTTTAAGCTCATATATGTACTCTTTTAGGGAATATAAATTGGCGGAAAATCGCATTTTGAATAAATGTTGGTGCATAATAGCCATCCATTGCTTGATGAGAGAGATAGAGCTTTTCCCTTAAACAGACTCTTAAAGGTAGGTTATAACCTGCCTCTATGGAAGATGTGTACTTCATACGTAGCGCCTGAAGGTCATATGGATTGAACCTAGAGTGATAAGAAAGAAAGCCCTACCCACAGTTGCTGGTGTTGTACGGTATCTTTCTAAGATAGAAATTAACAGGGTAAAAAGGTTTGAATCAAACCTTGTCTCTGCATTAGCCAGCAGTTATTTGTGTTGCAACTTCGCGCCAAATCAACCATAAAAGAGCTTTTGCAGCTTAAATGGTCCCTGCCTGTAACTCCAAATGTTATCACTTGTTTTTTAGGATTTGAGGATCTTATGGGGTATTTTTGTTGAGCTGTTGGTTGCAAATTAAAGTTCTCTTTATAAGTGTTTGTTTTACTGTGATACAGTTCCTATGCTTAATGACATAGGTTAATGTCTTCTTGTTGATTGACATAGGCTGGTGAAGTCGAGGCAGAAAATTTTTGCAAGGCTTTTCAACACGTTCACAAGAAACTTGTATGTCTAATTTAGTTATCCGAACATTACCATTGTATATCTCTATTATCAATTTCCATTTTCCAATTTCCTGTATTTGATTGGACTATTTTTAATGATTTTCAGGTGTATGAGGGGCTGAGTTTTGAAGCTGCTCAGAAGTTCCTGAACTCGTGAAACTGCTGAAAAGATAGTTCCTTGATGGCTAGTGCCTATCCTTTATTGTTAGGTTCTTTTCTGTCTTCTCCCTTTCTGCATCCTGTTAATGAGGTTGAAGAATCTGTTTTGGGAGAAGTTTGTGATCAAAACCATTCTTGTTGTGCATTGTTAAATGGGCCTCGTCATACTTAAGTCATTCGCCATGTAACCTACATTCAAAAGACAGTTGAAGCATAGATTTTCGGTGTCAAACATGGTTCGTTTATGCTCATGGAAAAACGAGGAAGAGCTTAGTTTTAGCTTCCGCCCTCTTCTTTCAGTTCCCCATTTGTTAAATTTGACGCATCATTGCTATATAACATCACTCATCATGCGTTCCTATGATCGTGTGATTCAAACCATTCATCTTTTTTGTTTTGCATATCTTAGTTCTTTTTAAAGATCAAAGAAATAATGGTGATAAATCCATGTTGGTACACTGAATGCACTAGATTGTTGTAATATTGCATTGAGATTTGTCATGTAACTCCCCAAACCGATGCGGGTAGCCCGATCCGATTCGGGAAGTCACATTAGGGCCACCGGAGCGACCCACCGTAAAAATAGCGGAAATTTTAAAACTTTTTATCAGAACATGTAAACTTATAAAATCATTTATCACTATTTAAAAATAAAACAGATTTCCAAACTCGTATATAAATCAAAATACAATTACATGCCCCCTAATCACAAGTACCATACTCTGCAACCACGCCAGAAGAACTCCCTTCTGAAGTCGATAGATGCACTGATACAATTGTTTTAACCTGAAAAGGTGAGTAATAGAGTGAGCTTTGGAAAGCTCAGTAATACAGAACTACCAGATGATGCTACATGACATGTAGATAAATGGAAAGCCATATAATTTCCTTATTGAATCATATGTATACTAGCTTGCAGAATAATTTGGGGTTCCCTTAGAAGTTCATCGAGTAGAAGCCATGAATCTAAGTTCATAAGAAACCTTTCAAAGTATGACATTTTCAGGAGATCGAATAGGATGTCTAGTGTGTTCCAACAGTATAATCAAATCATAATAGGTACAAATCATAATCCAGTAAATCTCACAATTTTGTAAAAGAGTTTAACTTTTGAAAATCATAGTTTAAACCCTTTTCTGGTACACCATCAGTAGTTCCCAAAATTATTTTCCATATAGCTTACTTTATGCACATAGCAAAAAGAAAGCCGACTTAAGGATAGGCTATGAAGCTTGTATCCTTAAGCCCAAGTCAATAAGTCCATATAGCTTACCCTAAGCACACAGCAAAGGAAAGCCGACCTAATGAAACATCTTGGGGCCCTCAAGAGTCACATTAGGCCCAGTTAGCTTGATCAGAGCTATTCCATCGTAATTCAATTCCAAAATTCAATTGCACCGTGACATAAATTCCATAAATCCAAAAACATGGTAATCATATACCATTTCAAAACAAAAATTAGATAGCATCCATATTCCATAAATTGTCACATTAAATTAGTGCATCAATAAAACAATAACCAATGAATTCGGTGTACCACATATTAAAACCAATAAAACAGTTCAGTAATAAGTAGGGAACACACTAGAGAATCCCAGTATTTCCAGAGGCCATTGTAGTTATCATTTTGGATAACATGAAACTTATGAAATTTGATCGAATTCCTGGAACAAGGTCCTATTGAGGAGAATCGATTACTAACCGATCTAGCCAGACATTTAATGTTGATACATTAGAATCCCACTATATTTTCGTGTGCTTTAGGAAAACGTTCAGGAACCTTTATACATAATAATTCTAAATTCAGATTTACTGCGAGTGATTCCATTACCCAAACAATCAGGGGTATTCAGGAATATACTTTAAATTCATAGGATTTCAGCCCAATTGAACCAAATGAGATATTCAGAATCTTTTCCATCTGCGTTACTTGTTTTTTTTTTCAAACATGACCGAAGTGATTTTAGATGAAATATAGAATCGAAGATTCAAGTCATTTACAATCTACGACTATCGATCATATTATCAAACAACTCGAGTTACACAACTCTCAAACTGATGCATGTCAACAAGTCAATTCATTATCCTTCCAGTGTATTCACTCTTTAATACCATAGTGTAGATCCATAGATCATCCCCATAATCATCACTGAATAAATCTTCCAACGGTCTTTATTTCATTTCCACGTTTCAACAATATCAGGAAATACTGACGTACTTGATCCATGGCTCATAACCCATAATGACAATTCATCATGTAAGTTCAACAGTGTTTCCAAACTCATCAAATCACCTATTTAATCCTTACTCATTGATGTTACTTAGTTCGTTTGGTAAGCAAGTCTATCCCGATTACTTTAAAGTTTTCCAGAATAATTCAGACGTTTCTGAATTTCAAATACACGTTGTACTACATTTCATTTCAATTTATTCATATAATAAAGTTATTATGGTATTCGTGGTTGATTTGACTAACGACTACCCACTTATTAGTACTGTATGCGCTCTAGAGTTGAGCTGCGCCAAGTACTTCCAGAATTATCATCGATCCAAATTTGAGCAGATGAACAAACATTCAAGTGATACTTATATCATTCAGGTAATGATATAGTACTAACGTTGGTTAATCACTTAAGTTGCGTTTCACAACTTTTACTGGTAGCACAACATCCATGTTTATTTGGATTTCTTAATTAATCCAAGACATTTACTTATTCTAGGTCATAAGGGCATTTTGGTCATTTTGGTGCTTAACATTTTTTTCTATTCATTTCAAAGCTTGAGTATATCCATTCATTCCTGAGCTTGGTGACATTCTTGAGTTATTTCCATTCCAGGGGTAATTTGGTCATTTTATAATTCTAGAATATTTCAATCATTTCCTTCCATCCGGTCTTATTATTTAATTCAATCTTATCATTTACTTCAGTCCTTTCGAACAATTCTGTCAGCAGAATACCTCCAATAAATTACTCTTCAAGTATTTACTCCTTATTCGAATATTTTCGGGTCAAGTGTCTTCTCAGATTTTACAAACGGAATATTATAAATTTTTCTGTACAAAGACAGGATCTTAACAATTAAATTCGTACTTAATCGAGTTAAGTACAAATCCTCAAAGTACTCTCTCATTCAGGGTCAATTCAGACTATTTTATCTCTCAAGGGCATTTTCGTAATTTCTTAACCAAATAATTTCAATATTAGCACTTAACGAAAATAATTATAATTTAGAGATCCTATGATCAATTGCTTTCCCGAACATTCTTTGATTTTGAAATGATTCATTCACAAACTCTCATAGGATTAAAACCGGTTATCCATAATTTCCAAATAAAACTAACATTTCTTATGCACATCAGTAGTTATATCGGATCAATATGTCTTTTCAGAGTTATTAACCAACTTCCAGGGGCAATTCTTATCATTTTCCAACATAAGGGTAATTTCGTAATTTTACCATATCGGAGTATTCTCATAATTTTTCATCCAAGTATCTTTAACATTTAACCCTTGATGATATAAAATATAACTTACAAATCCAGAGCTGATTTCTTTATCACCAATCACAAACTTGTAATTTAATTCTAACAATTATCAATCTCTTATCTTAGTCATTCGATCCGTATTCAGTTACAGAATTTCTACCACATTCATATCGAGTGAATAAATTATTCAACTCCACAAAAGTGACCAACATTATCTTATTCATGCATTTACCAATATCAACATGTTCCATAAAGCATAAAGAGGTAGTAAAGTATTACCTCAATTTTCGTGCCATATTAATCGACCATATAAATTTCATTTGAACGCCCTCGATCTTTAATTCAACTTCCAATATTTTCCTCACGATCCAGGCCATCAAAATTACTAACTCGTATCCAAATAATTTCCCTCGCCATAAAAATAACTAATTAGAATCTAAATAATAATTTGAGGACTCAATTGGTAAAATTAAAAACTATTATGTCATAACTATAACCACTTGAAAACTAAGAGACAAGGTAAATATCTCACCAAACTTGGATGGCATACCTTGTGATTTACTCTTTTTTGCATGATATCAATAATTCCTCACAACCCACGTGCTTTGCTATACCCATTTACATTCATTTGTTATTATTTTCCATTACCAACTCCCAAACCTTGGTTGAGATAGCTAAATGATAAGCACTAAACCAGCTAGGAAAAGGAGAAAGCCGGTGGAGATTCCGAGCGACGAGAACCAAACCACGCATAATTGATAAGCGGCGATGGATTCCCTCCTTGCCTCCCTAGCACACACATCCCATGATGTTATTGGCTGTCCAAAGAACATTGTATCTATGGAATTCTTTCAATGGTTCAAACCGAAGGCCATAGCGTTCCTCTCGCCTTTGGTTCGTGCTCCCATTAGAAGTTAGAATTCCCTGACCAAGCAAAGTACCAAACTCTTTTTGCTGATAGAAAGGCTTCCCCAAGGCTAAGGACGTGCATGTTGTAATCTCTTTCACATCATCAGGTTGATTCACAAACAATAATACTTCCCTGTACTGTTTCCTCTATTTCTGGAGGAAAAGAAAGAGAAGCGCGGCGTAGTTGTGAGTGGACGATGGCTAGGATCCCTAACAACGGCGAATTGTGTTTTTTTTTTAATCTCTCTTATGTTTCCAAAAAGCATAGTCAGAGGCGGTCCTTTGATGCCTTGTTCACTTAATCTTGCTCGAAGTTTCATCGACTTCATCACCAACTCATGAAACAAACATAGGATCGATCCCAAGAAAGCAAGAGAAAGAAAAATGATGAGGAATTCCATATCTTAAAGTAGGGTTGGCTTTGGTTGATTATGAATGCTCTGTAATATAAATGATTGGTACTAGTATATTATGAGATAACAAAGAAGATTGCAGACAAAATAAATTTAATTTACAGGACCCACTAGGCCACTATGGTACCATAAGATATGATTTATTATTTGGGGAGTTGAAATTATACATCATATATACATATAAAAAAATTCACATCAACCAAAGTCTGAACAAACCATGTGAATGCTATAATTAACTAAAACCAACGAAGGACACAATTACACTTCAAGTCCTCAATCTTCTAAAAAAAATCCTTGATAACCAGAATTTTAATTAGACTTCTTATACAAATATCATAAGATTTTAACTCATAAATTGGGGTGTTACATGTTATCTCTTTTTTTTTTGTGCTCAGTAGTTGCTGAAATTTGAGTAACAGCTGAGGAACCTATTTATTATCATTTCACATAATTCTCATGGTGATTAACTCTTGTATTTATTAGCATGCACATTTCATATCATATCACACGAGTTTTTGCATTGTAGAAGTCCAATTGTGTTCATATGAAAATGCCTATGAATAACTTAAAGCGGGCATAAACCAAAATTATCGGTGGAAGATTTTAAGCAACATTACTTCTCCCCATCCAAAATGTCCTTTAACAAATAAAAAGTCTCAAACATGTTGCAAAATACTAGTCTCACAAGTCCAAGTTGAATCATATTTGAATATAGAGAATCCTATTCTCCTGTCCAAAGCTGCAAATCAGTCATGAAGGATCCCCAAGATATCATCATCTCTATATAGGTGATACCTGAAACAATTGGTTGACAAGAAGTTAGAAACATTGAGAAACGATGCCAATGGTGCAGAACTTTTTCCATATATTTTCACATGCTCGAAAATGTGCGGAAATAGATTATTTCAGTGTATAAAGCTAACTTTCGTTTTACACCGACTGTAGCTTAAGTTGTTCGAAATCACATCAAACAAAACGCCATAGAAATTACAATATGTGGACTGAATCAAAACAGCATTAATTAGTAAGATTGGGATGAACCCATTTCCAGCCAATGAGAGTTAAAACCTTTTAAGCCGTAAACAATTCTCCAGAAAAAAGAAAAGCAACAGCCAAAACATATTCACAAACAAAAACAGTAAACAGTAATAGACAATAAGGTTTAAGAAAGGTACAAATACAAGATGAATGTAAAAGGAAAAAAAGACCAACTCTTTTTCACCCAGCTTGACTTCGGTGCCTCCATATTCAGGCAAAAGGACCGTATCTCCTTCCTTTAGATTAACTGGGATATGTTTCCCATCTCTGTCTCGTGCTCCTGGTCCAACTGCTACCACTTTGCCGGAGCTCAACTAAAACAATTAAAAACCAAAATCAGAAGAAAAGAAAACCCAAGGTTAGTAAACTGAGAGATTGAATTAAGAACCTTGGGGGTCTTCTCAGGAAGCAAGATCCCAGAGTTGGTTTTAGAAGGAGGGATTATTTTCTCAACCAAAATGCGATTAAATGAAGGAATCAAACGCTTTGCCATCTTGTTTGTTGCGGGAGAAAGGGCAGGGGGCCGAGCTGCTTTCTGCGATGGAATTGGCTGACAGTGAGTGGATTTGGAAAGTGGAGATTTAGGGTTTAAGATGTATTAAGGGTTTCTGTTGAATTACCAAAATGGCCTCCCTACCTTAACCTGTAGAAGGCTCTAGACGTAAACAAATATGACACGTTATTTTGTTTTTTCCCTATTTTGTTTATTTATTAAATAGTTAAATAGTATTTGTTGTGTACATATCCATCCACAAAAATGCAATGGTTTGAATACATGGTATATAAAAGAGAACAATATTTTCTTTAACTATTTATATCACTTTACGAGAATAATGTTTTATTTAACCATTAATATCACTTGACGAATTTAATATGACACTTTGATAAATTTAAGAAAAGTTTAAAAAATAAAAGCAAGAACTAAAAGTATAATAACAAATTAGGTTAAATTATTTGTATGTCATAAAAATTACATATTAAAATATCATGCATTATTAATTATTTCTTAAAATAATATTTTTTAAAATAAATATAAAAATATGACTAATTAAACGTATTTTTATGACACTTTTTTATTAATATAGAGTAAGTACAAAGTAGTATATGTTCAAAGATACCTTTCGACATCGAACGCTCACACACTTAGCATCTATGTTGCTCGAACTTGGATCTTCAATTAATGACAATAGTTCATTTACCATGGAGGTCATTTGGTTTGAGCAAAAGCATGTGATATATCTTGATAAATATATCATGTATGTGTATATATAATTATATATTTTTTAAGATAATATCTATTTAAATTTTTTGTAGCCTTTGAAAATAGACATATTTCCTGAAAAATATAACCATTCAAATATAGTTTCTTTATGAAGAAAACGTTCTCTTTTACTACTGAGTTCACTTAATGAATTTTAAATATGTTAGATAATAATTTAAACTAACAAACTAAATTTAAATATTAAAAAAATAAATATTAAATTATATTTTAAAATTAAACTTATATATTAAAATAATTTATTAATGTGTTGTTTTAGGCAAAAAGACATCAAATGCCCTTATACTTTGGGGGGGGGAAATTAATGTGACCATGATATTATTTTTTTTCTCTCAATATGACACTATAACTCAGAATGTGGCCCTTCAACTAACGTTTTTCGTCTCTGGCCGTTACGGTGTTGACATAACGATCCACAGTGTTAATGTGGCATTCCACGATGTTGACGTGGTAATCCATGGTGGTTAATATAACATGGTAAACGGGTTAAATTGGTTTTTGTTTTTATTTGTGTGTCAAATTGATTTTTTAAGCTCAAGGAATTATTTATATTTTTAAAAAATAAAAATTATTTGAAGTTATAAATATAAAATTATTCAAAAATCAAAACATAACAAATTCCAAAAATAAAAATTAAATTACAATAAAAATTTAATATACATATTAAAAATATTAAAACTATTATAATTGTTTTTTTTAAAAATGAATATATATAATAGGTTATAAGATAATTACTTATAAATTATTAAAATATTTAAAATATTTTTAAAAAGATATAATATACATAGCATATACATGTAATATTTAGATATATCATCAACATTTATACAAAGAATTGTTACCAGATTAATCAAGAATTACAAAATTTAAATTAGTCGAGACTTATAATTTTTAGATTAGTCGAAACTTATTCTGTTTTCTATTATCTTTGTGTATGTATCGACTAATTTAAAAGATAATTTATATAATAAGTTTTAACATAAAATATAATTAGAAAAAAATAGTAAGTTTTGACTAATCTAAAATTTGTAAGTCTCGATTAATTTAAATTTTATAAGTCTCGATTTGTCTAGTAAGAATACTTTGTATAGGCATCGATGATATGTCTATATATTATACGTATATATCATGTATAATATATCTTTTTAAAAATATTTTTTTTTTATTTTTTTAAATAATTTATAAGTTATTATTTTATAACCTATTTATATATTTAATAAAATTTGCACGAATCAAGCGACTCTAGTGGTAAATGAATTGTTATTGACAAGCGCCGTGTACTGTCAAATAAATAGCCTTTTTTCTCAAATTGACAAGCGTCATGGAATTTAGAGATTCTGATGTAGGAATATTTTTTTTATTCTGATTTTGGGAGAAAATAGATAAATTAAACGGAGGTTTTGGTTGAATGAATAAGATGAAAATAAATGTAAAAAAATAAATTAACTGTGAAAAAGTAAAGCTAGAAATTTGAAGAAAATAAAACGTAGAAGAAATTCAATTTAAGAAAACAACCTCAGGACTCGATTTGCCTCAATTCCAATTGATCATCGAAGATGATTTTTAATCCGGATAAATGCCAGTTACAATCTACAAGGCACAACCCTTGTAACTTGCTTTTCTTTCTGGTAGATCGACAATCCAAAATCAATCTTTGGAAATCAGTCTTTATTTGGACTAGTCACGACTATCGTCACCAACACCAATACAATTTAAGTTTTGGAAAAGCCCGACTCAAGTTATATTGTCTCAATGAGAATCAAATTCAATCTCAAATTCCCTTAGCGGACCGCTGCTAAGTATGTTCCCAAGAAGTCGAACTTGCTACCAGTTAATTCTTACTCCAAACTTTAAATCAGAACAACATCCAGACCAACATTGACTTTCTGAAATGAAAGTGTTTTGATTTTTAAAGGAAATGTCAATTGCCAATGCAAGTTTACAGAAAATTTCGAATTTTACTTGAAGGTATTAGGTGCTTTTCAATTTTCACGATCGAAATTGAATCATCGCTTAAGCCTTTGGCTTTTAAGAAAATTAGCTAAGCATGATATAAATCATACATAACATTTTTAAATAAAATAAAATAAAAACTTGAAAAGTAAAACAAAAGGAAAAGAAAACAACTTTATAAAAATAACAAAGAAAAGAACAAAGCTAATTTGGAAATATGTTTCAAGCTTTACCCTGAGAGGATATTTATAGATTTCTAAAACCCTAAAAATGAAGTAAAAATAGCTTAAGATAAAATCCTAAAAATATACAAATAATAAAATCCTAAAGATAAACAAATGATAAATCCCAAATTCAAATTTAAACTAATCCTAAGTCATCCGCCCACACTTATAGAATGTTGACTGAATCATTTTCTATAAGCTACTGATTGGATTGCCACATTGGAAATTGTCATGCCCATGTGTCCATCCTTAACTCCAGAATAAAAAATATGTAGAGCTTCTCTTCTCTAGCGCTATTTCTATAAATTAAAGTCTTGGATAGAAAACAAATCAAAATACCACAAATCAATAATGTCAAAGAGACAATAAGGAGTAATTAATAGTAAAATAGTAACAAAATAAATCACTCATCATTTATTATTCCTTGAGGTCCCGGGTTCAAACACCAAGAATACCAAGGGTGTGAGCGTTCAATGCCTTATATTTACCCCAAATTAATCAAAAATATAAATTTTAATTTTCTATGATAGTTTTAGTATTTTTTTAATATGTATATTCAATTTTTAGTAATTTAATTTTTATTTTTAGTATTTTTATATTATTTTTTTAAATATTTAAATAATTTTATATTTAAAATTTAAAATAATTTTATATTTAAAATTTAAAATAATTTTTATTTAAAAAATTAAATAAACCCATAAACTTAAAAAAAATCAATTTGACCCTCAAATAAAACCAAAAAACCAATTTAATCTATGTGCATGTCATTAATCACATCATTAACAATCGTGGACTACCACATAAGCACTGTAAACCGTCACACCAGCACCATGAACTGTCATGTCAATACCTTAATAGTCAACGACAAAAAACGTTGGTCAAATAGTCATATTGGATTGTTTTATGAATTAAAAGACCATATTGAAGGGAAAAATAATTGAGAAACCTCATTAATTTTTTTCAAAAGCACATAGACCTCAAATATTTTTTACCTTATTTTTATTTACCCTCAAGACAAAAATATTCTTTACTCATAAGAGAGGGACAAAGGTTCAGTGGATCTATTAGGCCCGTAGCCATGAAAATTGGGTTTTTTAGCCCATTACGGCGTTTAGAATAAAAACAATTAGAGTTTTACCCATCTTTAGCTTTTAATTAGGGATCTACGACATTTACTACAGTGTCGAGCGAACTTGTCACCTTGAGGTGATGAGTTCCTTAAAATATGATTTTTAATAGACTCAGATTAGTGAGTCCCACATGGGCTATTAATTTATTATTTTTAAGTGGACTCCTCACATCGAGGTGACAAGTCCATTAATTTTTTTATTATTAAAAAATTTAAAATTAGAAAATAAAAAAAAGATAGGGGAACTTGTCACCTCCTTCGAATTAAAAAAACTAGTCATTTTGTAGTCATTGGTCAATGGGCAGTTGTGCAACAGTTATTTGGCAATGGTCACTTGGAGTTCCATTGGAGTTTTGCATTATAATAGTTGGAATTAGGGCTATAAATAGGGGTTTAGGGTTTTATTTTTTATTAAACCCTAAAAAATTATGAAAAATCTTATTTACTGTGAAAATACCAAAAAATGGCTTCTCGAGCAGACATGTTGTGCCTCGAAAACTTCCATATTTCGTCGATCAAACTCCGAACGGAAGAAGAACGAAATATTCGTTAGCGCGGGATAACTTCGAAAGATCCGCATCAACGGATGTTGATATATCTTCATCAGTCCGGTCTATTTCCAGCCATATTTGTGCGTGGCTTCAAGGTGTACCCAACGTTGATTGAGGCTCTGATCGAACGTTGGCAGCTCGAGACGTACAATTTCTATTTATTGAGTAGTGAAGTGACTATTACTTTGGAAGACGTCTCTTACCAACTCAGTATTCATGTGAATGAAGCCTCTCGTGGTGAGGCAGAACAATTATGACCCCAGGACATTGGTCTACGAAGTTTCGAGAAAGTTGCCACCATCCGAGTTCATCGATGGCTATCGTGTATGAATGACGTAATTGGATTCCGAATTCTAAGTGACAGCCGACTCTATCGAGGATGAGGTTATTTTTATGTCCCGAGCATATCTTCTCTAACTGATCAAAGGGG